AGGGGATCCTTCCTCTTCTTCTGGGTTTTATTGGCGGTTGGCAAACCAACTTAAGGTGAATTTACCCTGTAAACTTATCAATACTCACCAGTGATGGGAATTTTGCTCTTTTCAAAGAGTTTTCCAAACATTTTCTCTGCTATAAATTTATTTAGAATCTATTAAAAAGGAAGAAAACAGAAAACTTTTTTCTTTTTAACTTTTAAATTAAGAAAACACACTTTGTCAGAAAACAGTATTTTATTTTCACATGTAATAATTTTAAAGATTATAAATGAGTTTTTGTTAGTTTAGTTGTAATTACTAACCAACATGTGTTGGTTTAAGTACGTCTGAAGGCTATATTAGAGTATTAAAGCTGGTTAGTTTGGTTAGATTTGGTTTTTTATACATTGGACCTTAAACTTTTCAGCATATGCTCTAACTATGTTTCATTTTCAGATTTCTTGTTTTGAAGGATGCAGCAGCAGACTGGCTGCGTCTGCAGTGAGTCTGCAGGACGCCTAGAAATAAACTACAGGTTTTCACTGCAAAATGTAAATAGGAAGCCTATTGTTCAATGTCATGGGAATATAGTTCAATACTATGAAATAATTAATTCCATTAAAAGGCCCATAAATAACACAAGTTTATAGATCAAGAGAAATGAGACTGAAGACGTGAATATTGGAGCCAACAGTTTAGAAGTAAAGCTTTGTGTTTAAAACTGCTGCAGCTTTTCCTTCCCTCTGAGGGCTGAATGAACATTATTTGATTATTTAACTTGATTGGTTAAATATCAGTAAGCTTGGCGCCTCATAAACCAAAACAAAAATCATGCAGAATTGTAGAATGGATGAAAGACGACATATTTTTCAGGACTTCTTAGGAATTAAATCTAAAAGTGGTTAAAAATTAAAATGTGTTGCAAATATTTGCCTTTCAACATGTTAAAATGTGCTGCAAATCTCACTGAAACATTTATTCTAGACAGATTAAGACGGTTTGAGGTGTTTCAACCCAAGTCGAGACCTGATGAGCTGCTTGGCCCAGAATTATAGCTGGATTGGTTTTTGTACTGCAAGTGGGAAATGAGAAACTCATTTTTATTTTGAGACACATCAAGATCATAAATGTACAACAGCATATTAGGGCCATAAAAAGAAAAGAATAGGTGTACATCTCTGCCAAAAAACTCAAATTTTGACATTACTGTCAGAAAATTTTTGAAAAGTCCAGAAATGCTTTAGAAAATAATCCAAGTTTGAAAATTCCCCAAAATTTTGACTTTTGGAAATGTCCTGATTTGCACAAGTCAAACAATTAAAACATTTTAAAACACTGAAATCTCCAAGTTTTTTCTAGAAAATGTCTGAGATGAATACAAAATCCATCTCATAGATCTGCAGGTGTTCTACCTTTGGAGCTCAGACATTTCCTTGTTTTTTCTACAAAAT